GCCAAATAATATTCCATTGTATGGAAATACTACATTTTATCTATCCATTCGTCTGTTGATGGACATCTGGGCGGTTTCTACTTTTTGGCTCTTATGAATAGTGCTGCTGTAAACATTTGTGTAAAATTTTGGTTTGAACATCTGTTTTCAATTCTCTTCGGTATATACCTGAGACTGGACTTTCTGGATCATATGGTAACTCTGTGCTTAACCACTTGAGGAACTGCCAGACTGTTTCTCAAAGCAACTGCACCTTTTACGTTCCTGTCAGCATTATGAGGATTCTAATTTCTCCATATCCTAACACTTGTCATTCTGATGATAACCATTCAGGTGGGTGTGAAGTAGTATCTCATTTTTATTTTGATTTACATTCCTCTGACAGTTATGTTGAGTATCTTTTTATGTAATTATTGGCTATTTTTATGTCTTCATCAGAGAACTGTCTATTCAGATAATTTGCTCACTTTTAAAATGGGTCATCTTTTTATTCTTGAGTTGGAATAGTTCTTATGTATTCTACGTACAAGTCCCCATTCAGATGTATGATTTGCAGAATTTTCTCTGATCTTGTATTAGTCCATTTGGTCGCTAGAACAAAATACTATAAGTTGAGTGGTTTATAAACAACAGAAATTTATCTCTCACAGTTCTGGAGGCTGGAAGTCTGAGATCAGAGTGCCAGTACGGCTGTCCTCTGGATGGCACATGGCTGACTTCTCCCTGTGTCCTCACATGGTGGAAGGTGGTGAGGGAGCTCTCTGGAGCCTCTTTTATAAGAGGCACTTTATAAAGGGCACTAATCTCATTCACAAGGGCTCTGCCCTCCTGAAGCTAATTACGTCCCCAAAGCCCCACCTCCTAATATCATCACCTTGGGCATTAGGTTTTTAACCTATGAATTTGGGTGGGGGAATGGACACACATATTCACACCATAGCACAGCACACATAGCACACTTTTCACTTTCTTGATGGTGTCCTTTGAGGCAAAGATGTTTTTAATTTTGACGATGTCCAGTTTATCCTGTTGTATGTGCCTCTAGTGTCATATCTAAGAAAACATTGCCTACTCCAAGGTAATGAAGATTTATACCTATGTTTTCTAGGAATTTTCTAGATCTTATAGTTAGTTCTTTGCTCCATTTTGAGCTTATTTTTGTATATGGTGTGAGATAGGGGTCCATCTTTATTCTTTTGCATGTGAAAATCCAGCTGTCCCACACATAGTCTTCTGAATTAAGAGTACAGTATGATGTTTAACTTGTGAAGAAACTGAAGCTCAAAGATCTGAACTGATTTGCTCATTATTATATGAAACTGAAGGACAAAGCTAGAATTTGAACTTGTATCTTCCCACAGTACAACCATTATTCTTTCTTTTATACAATAGTTTCCTACCTATCTCCTACTTCAGAGAGCTTTGGACATCAACTGGATTTGTTCCAGTTTTGAATTGCTATTTTCTTTACTTTTAAAAGTGGAAGAAAATAATCTCTGTTAAACTAGTTAGTTCTGCTATGGTTAGACTCATGTGTTAATGAACAGATAAGGAATATTACATTAGATGTGATGGAAAATATTTAATGCAATCCATGAATCAAATTAATTAAATACACAATGGCTGGTTAACAGATTGAAGGGGAAAGAATAAATCCCTGGTTGCTTTTAGACAAACATTTCATATTGAGGTGATTAAATGAAGGGAGAGAGCAATTTAAAATAATATTCCTGATTACCATTCAATCGAGCAACATATTCTAATAGAACTAAGTATTTTTCCTGTTCTTATACTTTTGCATAAGAAATTATTAGTGATCTAATAAGACTTTTTTTATAAAACAGAAAGAAAATTTCAGTCTTGATGATAGAGTTGGTTAAAGTCACCCAATCAATAATATTATGTTACTTGGTCTGTACTTACCATGGCTCGACTTTGTATTGGAGTACTAATTCAAGCCATAGCAACCTTAAAGAGTGGGCCTTATTTGCTTCACTGTAGTCCCGAGGCTTAAGGAGAGGAGTAACTTGCAAAAAGCCTCACAATCAGAAAATAGTGGAGTTGGATTTTGAATGCAAGTTATTGGATATCAGATTTTCTATACTGAACCTCTACGCTCTATTCCCTATAATTACCTCTTACACAGTAGGTGCTCAACATAAACTGGTTGTTATTAACATCTCTTACACGAGTTAATAACCTACGTGACTCACTTAGAAATTATTTTGTGTGGGAACCCTTTTCTATTTAATAAGCCAATTGATTGCTCAGAAAATAAAGGACAGCAGCCAAAATATAATTTTGACTGCAGTGTTACGACCATAAAAAATGTTACTGCATAGCATATCCGTGAAGTCAGTTTAGTATAATCCACTGCCACCCTTGAGCTGGAATGCAGCACGCTGGAACTGTGTATTCCTCTGAAAGATATGAGATTAAAGAAGGCTAAAGGCAAAAAAAAAAGAACAGGAACTAGAGAATTCCATTTCTGAGATTGTTCGGATAGGCTAGTTTATGCTGTGGTAGCAAACATCCATGTCTCTTGCTCACGCTGAACAGCCAGTGCAGACAATGGGAAGGGCTCTCTCCTCCTCACTGACACTCAGGGTCTTAGGCTGATGGAGGCTCTGCCTTCTTGTTGCTGCATGTCTCCTCCATCGCAACATCAGGGGAAGAGGGAAGTAAAGACAATATATATCCTGATGTCCTTCTTCAGCTTGGAACTGCCACTCATCATTCTACTTATATCCCATTGGCCCAAATTGGTCACATGACCCCGTGAAACTGTCAAGGCACTGCGAAATTTGGGGAAGCACCTAACATTCAAGGTTTATCTAGTTCAGTGTTTTTCAATATGTGCTTCTTTGACCCCTAGGGCTCTGCGGAGGTGTGTAATGCATTCTGCAAACAATGAAGTATACTCAACTAAATGCTGAGTTGGATCTATCAGCTTTAATCTGTTTTGTCCTGGAGATCTATAAACTAATGTGTTGTAGGAAGAAAAGTTTTGCTGCCAAAAGAAGTTGGAAATTTACTCATTTGTTCCATTTTTTCTGTCTTCAAAGAATCATTCATTTAAACCATCTCACCCAGAGGGTTGTCTTCGCTAGCCATGGAACATCGAACAAGTGCACATAACGTGACATTTCTCCCACTTGGATTTCAGCTTCTTAAGCAGCAAAGACAGGATGTTAGGCTGATCTCTCTCCTTCTGTATTATCATTCTAACGTTCCCCTCCAGCAACGACAGCAATAAAAATCAAAGGGGAGTCTACAGGCATCTGAAGTAAACATCACTCCCCTTCCCTTAAGTGCTTTTCAAAATAATTGTTCAAGTCTCTTACATGAGTTAATAACCTTCCCCAAAGGTTATTTCTTCTGCAAATTCCAAGTCACCTGAAGACAAAGCTTGAACTAAGACTGTTCAGATTTCATCTAGTTCCTGTCTCTGCCAGAAGAGAAAAATCCATATACATTCCTTACTCAATGGCCTACTGGGTCTCTAATGACCAGGGCTATTTTTGTGAAGGAACAAAGTAAAACACTGCTCAAAAAAAAAAAAAAAAAAAAGCTAATTGCTGTGAATAGACAGTGCATGCTAGAATATAGCGCTAGAATTTATAACATTTGTTCAACATTTACATTTATATGCCCTCACTAAAAAGATGCATTTTTATCAGCTATTTTTCTTCAAAGAGTGAATGCCCCCCCTCTCACATCTGCTAGGTCTCATCCTAGGCTGGTCTATTGCATAATTCTCACAAGGATCGGGGGTATTTGGGGGCTTCCAGAGAAGGAAGCTGAGGAGGAAGGAAACTGGCATACAACAGGAGTCCTTTTCCATTTGTAATGTAGGTTATACAACAAATTAGCCACTTTTTCCCTAAGACTTAAGAGAGAACCCAGAGTGTAGATTATGATGACAACAAAGTCAATGGTGCTGTCTCTTGTGGGTAACAATTTTCTCTTTAAGAAGGATGTAGCACTATTTAGTGTTATGAGGACGTGCTTTGGGGCCAGGCTCCCTGGGTTCAAATCCTGCCTCTGCCACTTCCTAGCTAGGTGACCTGAAGTATGTCACCCAGTCTCTCCAAGCTCGATTTCTGTCATTTGTAAAACAGGGATGATAATAATAGAAACCACCCTGACACACTGGATTATTGTGAGAATAAAAGTGGGTGAGTGAAATGGGCTTAGCAAAGTGCCTGACTCACAGTAATTGCTCAAGTGATAGAAGCTCACATTATTGGTTTCTAGAATGTAATAGGCATCTTATCAGGAAAATAAATAGTTTATAGAAGTTGTACCCTTGTCAGTAACCACCCATAGCCATTAATTAAAATACCAAGAAATAAGATTTAAAAACTAACAACAAAACTCTAATAAGTTCATTTTAATTACCCAAACCCAACATTAATGGAGAAATATGGAGACATTTATTCTAAAAACGTTTTGAAAACAAAAGATGCTATGCTGATGAAAGCCAGGTGTCATGGTCCACTCCTGTGTGGATGCTCACAGAGACAATCCCGGGCTCCTGGCTGCTTCATCAAGAGATGGGGGGCCCCCAAGAGCAGGATTCATCTGCATTTCCAAGTGCTGTCCAGGGCCCTCCTTCAGAGCAAGATATATAGCTAGACTTCTACTATACTACTTAGGAAGTTAAGCAACTGTGGAGGATTACTTCCTGCTACGGTCTGAATGTTTGTGCCTTCCCCAAGTTCACATGTGGAATCCTCCCAAAGTTGATGGTTTAGGAGGTGGGGCCTTTTGGAGTCGATTACGTCATGAGGGTGGAGCCCTCATGAATGGGATGGTTACTTTTATAAGAGACCCCCTCACCCCTTCCACCACGTGAGGACATAGAGAAATTACTGACTATACCAGGAAGAGGGAGAGAAATTACTGACTATACCAGGAAGAGGGTCTTAGTAGAACTCAACCATACTGGCACCTTGATCTTGGTCTTCCCCACCTTCAGAACTGTGAGAAATAAATTTCGGTGGTTTATAAGCCACCCAGTCTATGGTAGTTTGTTACAGTAGCCTGAATAGACTAAGACACTTGCTTTTTTTTCCACATTAAAATCTTGAAAGGACGTGCCTTTTAATGAGTACGAAACTCTGACTAAATGCTTACACTTAAGTTTCAGCAGGTGACTTCCTAATTTAAGTTTTAACGGCCCCTCCTTCCCCATTTCCTGCTTTAATTACAAGTTTCCAAGGGTACCACCATTTAGTTCTGCAATTCTGTCAGTAAATACGTGAACTCTTCCTTGTTTCAGGCTGCCAGGTAAAAATGAAGTTATAATTTGTGCCCCTGCCTGTTGGGGGACAAGAGAAGAAAGAGGGTTGCTATTAATTATTACACATGCCGTGATGGCTACCTGCACAAGGATGTCCTGCATATAGGTGATCTCACATTTGTATTAAAACATGATCAAAACTACACTGAGAATTCCATGCTCATCACCTAACCAGCACTCCAGCCACCCCTCACGTGCCCACACTTGAACATGGTCCCCCCACCCCTCATTGCTTGTCCTCTGAAATAGGGGCTAGGACATCTACCTTGATAACGTAACTCAATTATGGTGTATTCTTTCCGATCCCTTATTTCTGCCGCCTGGGAGCACGTCTCAAGTCAACTGTCTGCACTGCACTCAAGTCTGTCTCAGACTCCGCTTTCTGGAAAACTCAAGTTAACACATATAAATGTATACCAATGTATGTATTTTTACATATATATATGAATATACATTATATTAATATACATAATACAGAAACCCAGGCTAGGGAGATAAAAAGAAATAGGGACCTCCAAGTATATTCATCTCACCAGGTATCATTTCAAAGGTCAGTACACCTCCTGCATCTGCACTGTTTTTTTAAAGTGCATGAACTTGTCAGCTAAGGTTCATCCTTACCAAGCAATAATAAGGAGATAAACACTGCCCTGAGGGTCTGCAAATTCAGCTCAAGTGTTTATTATTTGCAAATACAGTGTATGGCTGTGGGCCTCAGCTGCTTGGAGGAGGACAAGCCTTCCCTGGGAACACACCTGCCATATTTAGAAGAACCCGCCAGGTAGTTGTCTGCCGTTCTCAGATCTCCTGTGGATTCTATACTGCTTTCTTTAGCCCCTTCAGTCTCCAGACCTCCGCGCCTGCTAAGCTATGCTGTAAACTGCTAGCTAAGCTTCAAAATCACTGTATTAGTCCCGGAGAGTTAATGCATTCCAAAGCACTTAATTTTCTCCTAGGGAGTCATCTGCTCGTTGGTAGGAAATAGATGACTAAGCAATCGTTATCAACCCCGCCAGATAATTCTCGCACAGGGGAGCAAATAATCCAGAGGACAACATGCACTCCAAAACTTACTTATTGTGAAATCAAGGAGGCAGGCGGCATTTCACTGACTGTTAGAGGACAAATCATGACATCACCGATCATGCTGTTATTAGTATCATATATTTTCCCTGAACATGATAGGATTTCTTTTCTGGATTTCATAGTAAGTATTTCAGGCAAAAGTCTTAAGTAATAGATTGAAATGTTGTTATTTGCCTTGACACATCATTTGAGTTTCTATAAATTAGGAAAAATATTATCTCAAACTACAATTACAAACACCTTGAGTCAAAGGAGTGCTTTTATCGTAACTAAAATACAAATCAGTACACCAATCGACATACATGTATTGAATACGTCCTATAGAGAAGGTGCTGTCCTAGGCATAGTTGAGTGTAGAAATGAGTGTCAGACATGATCCCTGACCTCACAGGTGTTAGAAAGCTATCATATTATTCATACTTTTAGTGTTAGACATGTTTAATAAAGTTATGTTAATAGTGGTTTAAGAATTTCAGTTGCTAGAGTTAAGAATCATATTAAGAAAAATAGAAAATTTCCAGAAATCATTATTTAATACTTTTTAGGGTCTAAGACTTTTAGCCTTTTGCAAAATAGAAGTTTAAGTATGTCGTCTTCACAGTAAATTTAATATAGTAAAATTTTCATGCCTCTTTTTGGATCATGGAAACATTTTCTATAAACCCTGTATTGGGGTCTCTATATCAATAGATATAGAGTGATGTCAGATTCTTGGTCTACTCTTGAGATACCAAACACACATCCCATCTGGACACTGTCTTGAACTAAATCCTTAAACAAAATTAAGTGATAGGTTTCAGTCAAACTCAGGTCTAGGTGCTGCCAGGCTAGAGGATGGGGGGCAGTCACTCCTCCAGAAGGCCTTGGCCCTCCTTAGGCCCAGCAGACGTCATTTTCTTTGTTTAAATTGAATTCGGCATTGTCCTTCCGGCTGCTGGACACCCACCAAATGGAGAGAACTCTAAAAGCAGAAATGCAGAAAATATAGAAGTTAAGGGACATAAGCCAACAGTTTGGACCTAAGGTTTATTCAATGTGATTGTTCCTGAAACGTACAGAGTTTAGGTTTGGAAGACTGGAAGGTTTTGCTTGATGAGTTCTCCATGGCAAGCATCAATTTTAGCCTTCTATTCAAGGGACAGCAAAGGAGGCAATTCCCTTATTCTAATAGCAGTCTCTTCACAGTTTCACACACCCCAGTGCTATGGGCCTGCCACCCACCTTTCACTTTATATCCGGATAAAGAGGATACCCTTTAATAAAAGCTCTTTCTACATTCCTGGCCCCCAATCTGTGACACTTCATGTATAATCGCTGGGTGAGACCTCTATGCCACATGTTATAGATGTTCATAAGACAACATGGTGTTTTGGTGGTGCGATCCACTATTACAGGGGACCTAAGATCACAATTTTCCATAAGGATCTTTTGTGGTTCCAGATGTTCTGATACGTTATGTTATGTCTTAGTTATGAACAAAGGGTGAATGTGGGGGGGGGGTGAGGGGAGGTCGGTTCATTGCAAAGAATATAGGGTTGACCAAAAAGTTTACTCGGTTTTGCTCGGTAACATCTTACGGAAAAACCCGAACAATCTATTTGGCCAATCCAATATAAAGAGGTTGTTGAAGCTTAGGAGCTTGAATAAGAAAAGGAACCTGTTCTGTCAGCCCTGAGGGTTGGGGGAAGAGTGAGGAAGGAGGAGGGCAATCCAATTTAGATCATCTGTTTTTTTGTCATCAGTTTGAAAGAAAGGGCTCCTCCCCAAGGGGATTCTTAGGACAGTTGACAGAATGAGTTGCAGAACTACCACGGACTCTCTGAAATTGCAGTCACAATTTTGTGTGTATGAAGAGGTGTGTACTTTTCTAGAAAGGGGATCCATAGGTTTTGTGAGATTTTCTACGAATCCATGCCCCTACCCCCAAAGGTAAAGCAGAGCAAAACCAATCAACCAAATAAAACCCCACTGTGTTGGCAAAAAATGTGCTTGCTTTTGAGAGAGAATTGAAGTGGGTCTTCTTATGAATGCTCCAACTGGAGTAGTAGTCCCCATTGCCAGCAACTGGACGTGGCTGACCAATCACGGATCCTGGAAAGTTTTGTAATGTTTCCTTATTGTTTGGTTCTTATTGGGAGAGAACTAAGATTAAATTACTTTCTTCACACCGTTTGAGGTAAAGTAAAACACTGTTACAAAAGTAAAATCACGGGGATGTTAGCCTTTGATTTTTGCTCTTGTGGCAAGTATATTCCTTTGGGGGAGCTGGTTTCCAAGCCCTGTGATTTCCCTGCACTTGACAACAGAGTGTCTGGAACACGCCCTGGCAACCCATCCCCCTCCTACAAGAGCTTGGTAATTGGAAGGTCATTTCCTGTATTTTTTGATCACCTGCTTTCACAACTTGGTAACATAAGTCCAATAATTAAATAATTTTAATTGATCTTTCTAAAATAGAAACTGTGAAATGAAATGCCCTTTGAGATGAGAATTCTCTTAGACTTGTATTTTTTACAAACTGAGGTAACATTTCTTTGAAAAATGTTCTTAGTTGGGTCAAAACAGAAATAGGATGTATGTTTTTAAAAAAAAGTATAGGGGCTTCCCTGGTGGCGCAGTGGTTGAGAATCTGCCTGCCAATGCAGGGGACACGGGTTCGAGCCCTGGTCCGGGAAGATCCCACATGCCGTGGAGCAACTAGGCCCGTGAGCCACAACTACTGAGCCTGCGCGTCTGGAGACTGTGCTCCTCAACAAGAGAGGCCGCGATAGTGAGAGGCCCACGCACCGTGATGAAGAGTGGCCCCTGCTTGCCGCAACTAGAGAAAGCCCTCGCACAGAAACGAAGACCCAACACAGCCAAAAATAAATATAAAAATAATTACTTAAAAAAAAGAAAGACCTAAAGAAGAAATACATGGCGAATATCTTCAAAAAAAATTTTTTTAATTAAAATTAAAATTCAAAAAAGTATAATAGATACAACTAATAGAATCCCTAGCTAGGAAGAAAGTGCTGGGAAAAATCCTGCCTAAGGATCTGGTCAAAATGACTGATCTCCAGAGTTCGGTGTCACATGGTTTTGACAAATGACATCCTTCTAATGTGAAAAGGCATTCCTGTGTCTTCTTGCTGGTGGGAAAATAGTTAGATGCTGAGTCAGTCGTGGGCAAAACTGTGACATCTAACTCGGAGGATGAGAAACTAGTATTTGGTGCCTGTAAATCCTGGCCTCAATCTTCATTTTGCCAACAAAACTGTACTCAGTGGAAAACCTTTGTGAAGGGTGTTTTGATTTCCCTTTCATCATCAGATTTTGAGAGCTCTTTATCGCTGTTGCTTGCACTCAAAATAGAAGAGTAAAAGAAATCAAGGCAAAGTGCTGAAATGTGCATACTTGTGAGTAATATAATATTTTCTGTGTCATTTATACATTTACAGAATTTCTACTGAAATGTCACCCAAGAGTTTATCCCTCCATATATTAGCCCTTAATAATCAAGAGTAAATCATAGCACAAAATGCTACGTGAATAGCCCTGAGATTGCAATACTTAATTTCTCCACTTCACCCTCAGTTTAAATAACACCTTTTTATCCAGAGTTTTCAAAGGGACTTCCAAACATTTGGAATTAAATGGAACTTTCCCTTGTTTCCTAGGACAGTGGTCCTCAAAGTGAGGCATCAGCGGTACCCAGAGCTTGTCAGAAATAGAAATTCTCAAGCCCCTCCCTAGATATACTCATCAAGAACTCTAGGGCTAGGGCCCAGGATTCCATGTTCTAACAACCCCCCATCCCAGGTAATTCTGATGCTCACACCAGTTTGAGGGCCATTGGTCTAAGAGAACAGAACTATAGCAACAGAGAGGAGTTAAATGATTGAGATATCCAATGGTCAGAGGTCAGAAAAGGTCATGGCCTTTTCATTTATGTTCACTGTTTCTACTGTGGGTTAATCTCCTTTGTGCCATTGCTTTCCAAATGGACTAAGGGTTCTGACTTGCCTCCAAAACTCACGGTTCACTTTTGGACCCAGAGACATGCCTTTCTAGGGAAACAAGCCCAACATCAAGGCCATGTCTATTTTACCCTGGGAAAAGGGTTAAAACTGGTAAATTCATTGAGGAGCTCCTAACACTAAGTGGTGGAAATGCTACTATTAGGTCCTGGTCTTGTGATAATGGGGCACATAGAATTGACCTGGAATTAAGGGAGTATCTTCTCAGTCTGCAGAGATCATCTGTTAAGATGAGTCTAAGTGAGGAAATCAGTCAGCTCATCCCCAGTAATGAAAACCAAAGAGTTAGAGTTTATATCAAATTTGAAAGTCATGCTATTCAAAATTCTGAAAACACTTACCTGTCTTGGCAATGGGTCTAGAAGACTACAGTCATAATAATACAATATTAAAATAATAAATATTTGAATCTCCAACAGAGCCAGCCACCTGAAAGAAAAAGAAAATAAAATTGGTGCTTGGTTGTAAAAGATGCATAAATATCTACCAGTAAAGAATATCTATAAATTACACATATTTCACAGCAAATGTGCTCTTCTTTGCAATATAAACTTTTACTATTAAAAGGATAGAGTAAAGAAGGGTAGTTGGGATGATCACATTGCTTTAAAATGTATGTAAAATGCTTAGCCAGTGGAAGCACTTAATGAATGAGATCCCAGGTCTCTCTCCTAAGTTTTATATCTGTCCTTTCTAATATGGTAACCGGTAGCTACATGCGGCTGTTATTTAAATAAATTTAAATTTATCAAAATAAAACATTTCAGTTCCTCAGTTGCACTCACCACATTTTAAGTGCTCAATGGCCGTAAGTGGTTACCGGCCGCCATACTGAACAGTACGTATTTAGAACTTTTCTATGATCACAGAAAGCTCCATTGGACAGTCCTGTCTGATCTAGACCCTTATTGCCCACTGGAAATTACTGCCTAAATGTTCTGTAGGCACCTAAAATTCCCCATAACTACCAAATATTTTCCTTTTGTAATCTTGCACTCAGTCTCCAAGTTTTTTGATCATACACCTCTCATAATAAAATGTTTGAGCATACTCTACAATATATTGAGAATCATTTATTTATAGATTGTATAGCATACAACCGTACTAGTTTATTGTCGACTTTGTAGACACATATACATAGAAATTTAAAAACCGAGAAAAGTGTAAATGGAATTCTGCTACATCTCCTGGCATGCCAGTGGGTTGTTTTGAGCTCTCTTTAGGGAAGGCAAACCATTTTAGGGGGAATGGCCCCTAATAAGTACGATTAGTCCAACATCAGAGAACTGTTCCTCATCACAGACGGAATCCTCTCCATTCCCCTTCCTGCCCAGTTAGGCACCGAGGTGTTTTATCTTCCAAATGTTTCCCCGGTCCCTCTCCTTATGCCCTATCTCCAGTCCATCCACTGCTCCCCAGGGCAGGTCTTCGTCATCTATTTATGTCCTGGATTCCTGAATCACCTGGGTTTCCAGATTGGTTGCTTTGTTTCCAGTGTCACTTATCTCCACTCTATCCTTCACTCTCCCACTAGAGTAAACTCTCTAAAACAGAAATCTATCACTGTTTCCTCATTTTACACACATACCACCTGTCAATGCTTCTCATTTCCTTCCAAATGCCACAGGGACCACCACCAGCCCTTGAAGATCTGCTCCCTCCCTACTTCTCCAGACTCCTTTCCCCCAAAGCTCCTCCTTGAAACCCATGCTCTTGCCACACCGCATACCTGAGTTCCCTGAATGGCTATGTTCTCTGTTGCAAGCCCTTCCCCTGCCTGAGGCTCAGTTTCCACTGCAGGCATTCCCTGGTCTCTTGCTTCTGGGCTGAGGTGTCCTTCCTCTCCATTCCACGGCTCCCAGTGCACATTTCAGCCTTTGTATCTATTGCACTGAACTGTGATTGCTTATTGGCCATCCCTCTCCTGGGGTTATATTTTTAGGCCTTAACACAGTGCAGAGGGCTCTGCTGGTGCCTAATAATGTTGACTGAATAGATGATGGAAGGTGATGCCTCCATAAAGCAGATTCAATTTCCTTACCTTTCCATCCTTTTCTATGTTTCTGTGGCACTTGTAACATCCCTCAACTAACACCCTTATCCTACAAGCCCACTCTATTACAGTTAATTGTTTTCATGTCTGTCTCCCCTTATAGACTACCGTCTTCACAAAAGCAGGAACCATGTCTTATTTATCATTGAATCCTCAATGTTTGTTGATTGCATGAGTGAATGAATGAACATGAATGATCTGCTATTCATATCAGATAATTAGATTTGCTTCCCGCTGGTATTCTTGAAACATCTTGCCTATATTTTACTTCAGATGAAATCTGGACCACTCCAGGTGTTGTTAGGACCTACTTGGATACCAGATCAATTCTTCACGAATATTTGTGACGTAAATTTAATCCTACCTACTTAGAAATGCTAAAGATAATTCATTCCAACTGAGTGTCAAGGTCCATGAAATACAACATCCCAGTCTTTATTGATTCAGATCAAAGTTAGCAGCGATTCCAAGAAAAAGCAATTTTGCTAATTTGGAGGTTCAGAATCTCTCACAACTAAGTTTCTGTCACACTTCTAACAAATTAGGATGTCCACTTCTGGCCATGATGGTTGTCCTTGGGACTTGAGCTTTTCAAAGCAGCCCGCGATGGGCACACCATGTCCAATTTCCTTAAGATATATCCAAATGTTTGTTCTTCAGATTCTCTACAGAATGACTGACTATCACCTTAACCTTATGGGCACATTAAAGACTTCATTTTGTTCTGTGAGACAAGCCATTAGACAGTTTTAAACAAATCTGACTTAAGTTTTAAAAAGGATCACTTGGCTGCTACATTGAGAATAAAATATAACGTGCTGCTAGAAGGCTGATTAGGAAGCCATTATAATCTTCCAGGCAGTGGAAGATGGTGACTCGGACCAGGATGACGGAAGAGTCATGGTTGGCGTCTGTATATACTTTGTAGGATGGCTGATGGTTTGCGTGACAGGTGTGGAAAACATAAAGAGTCAAGGACGACTCCAAGTTTTTGGCCTGAGGAAACGCAAGGATATAGCAGTGGGGAAGGCCGAAGGAAGAGCACTTGCGGAGCTCACTTTTGGACCTGTTCAGTGTTGCTGGCTATAGACAAGTGCCTTGGAGACATCCAGTGGAGATGTTGAGTGGAGGTTGGGGATGAGCCTGGTGTTTGGGTGGGGATTCAGTCAGGGCTGGAGGTACAAGAGATATAAATACAGAGTCATCACTATTCAGACAATTATTTAAAGCCAAGGGATAGGATGAAGTCACTTAGGGAGCAAGTTAAATAGAAAAAAATAAGAAATCTGAGGAGAGAGCCCTGGGGCAGTCCAAAATTTGGAGGTTAGAAATGTGAGGAAGATGAGCAAAGGAGCCTGAGAAGAAGTAGCCAAAGGGGTAGGATAATGAAAAGAGAGTGATTATCTCCAAAGCCCTGGGAAGAAAGCGTTTCATGGAGGCCGCGAATTCCGTATCTAACGGGAAAGGTGGCAACGAGTACCCACGTGTAATATGAAACATTAACATTCCCGCTTGCATAAAACAGCCAATCCTTCTCAGTCCTTAGCACCCTTCCTAGAAGTAAATTAGATGAGCTCACTAAACTGACATTTTGTGTTTGGTAGAATAAGCAGTGACTTCCCGATATTCAGCGGTTACCTGGCAGCACTAGAAAAATGCTTGCTAATTTTGCATTTGTGAATTATAAAACAGTTTTTGGATAAAGGTTCTCCTTTATCCTAACAAATCCTGTTTTCTTAGAACTCTGTTTTCAGCCCTTCTCTAACTTTAGCTTGCCATGACGGGAGTACTTCTCTGAACTCAGCCCCCTGGGGAAAAGGTGGCTGGCATCCTTCCTCTCCAGTCCCTGGAGGAGAGGCACTGCGGCGATAAGGACAATGGACCCATTTGGCAGGGTAGGTGGGGCCGTTCCCGGGAAGAAGTCCCTCCAGTCAGAGGGTAACCAAGGCACAGACTTGGAAGGGGCCCTGGAATGCCTAGGGGCCTGCAAGTTGTCTACTCCCTGTAGAAGGTGAGGTGATGAGAAATGGAGTGGACCGAGCAGGAAGAAACGAGGAACTGGCTCATCGAGGGGCTTGAGTATGTCGTGTGACAGTGTTGGGACTTTGACCCTGAAAATACAACAGACCTTGTGAATAAATTGTACTGAAAAATTATACTTATATGTGAAAATGAAGGTTCTTTAAGCATTATTTTACGTAAGAGGCCCTCAATGAATATTTCCTCTATCACGCAAATAAGTCATGTAAACAAGAAATAGTTCCTAAGCTATTTAAGAGCACAAGTTGAACTATTTTAGAGACATTACGCATGTTTTGATTAGAAATAGAGCTAATGTTTATCAGTTCATTAAAATAGTTTTCCACTAGAACCTGTAAGCATTTCCTTAACTAACTTTAGTCCCTGTGATGTTCTTAAAAATCATAAAACTGAATTTCCTTTAAGGTAAAACTATAGTTCAGGCTTTTGACCAACTAATACTGTGTGCATTGTGAGGCTTTAGTATTTTTCTTCTTTTATTTTTGAGAGTTAAGTTAGTTCAGTTATTAAATTAGTATTAGTTATTGAAATAGTATAAATATTAATATTACATTTACTATCATTTCTAAACATTTTGATATTCTGGTTAAAAAAAGTAAGATGAGTTAATAATACAGATAATAAAGTAATATGTACTAAAACTCTTATTTTCTCCAAACCCAAATATTTGGATATTCTAGCAGAATTACCTAAATTATCCACTAAATAAAGTTAATTTTTTTGCAATGGCAAAAAATAAATTGTGCTTTCAAGCCTTTACCATGTTACTGAATTTTGTTCGATGTCTAAAACATCAGGGACTAACACATACATAACTGTGACATTAAAAGCTCCGTTACTCCAAAGAAAATGAGCCTCATAAATCCGTATTTTTACAAAAGCGCCTCAGAAGCAAGCTGAGCTATGTTCATGCTAGGAATGTTTTCTTAATACTTCTAATGTCAAAACAGTGAAAATAATGAGGCATATTATTTATAACATGTATCTTTTACACTTACAAGAACATTACACATCTACAAATAAAGCTCATTAAAATGTAAACATGTTGGAAATTCCTTAAATGCTGAGTACTTGTGTGTTTTCCCCATTTGTAAATAAATGTTCAAGCTACACAGAACACAAAGTCCTACAAAACCTGGACTCTACCCTCACATTGCTAGTAATGCACACGGAGAGATGGGAAAGGTAACAATGTAAGATAAATGTGGAAACAGAAGGGCTTTGGAGATTTGGGGTCTGGAGCAAGCAGTGTAACCCAGAGTTGACCAACTCTATGTGGAGGTGACACCTGAGCTAGACCTGGATGGAAGGACAGGCTTCAATAAGTAGACATGCT